ATATATATATATATATATATAAAATCCCAAAAGTCAGCAGTCACTATCATTTAAGTACCCTGTCAACGTTTCTATATATGGTGAAACATATAGATTGATATACACACATATATATGTATATATATACATATATATATATATATATATATATATATATATATATATATATATATATTGTGCTGTTAGATATGCAATGTTCCTGCTTTCGCAGTGGCGCTCGTTGCTAACAGACGGGAGACCGGTCCAGAGCTTTGTCCATGTCCAGTAGCCTCGCGTGCGCCATTTACCGCTTTAGGAAAAATTGGCGTCAGATGAAATCATGTACTGTCGGCTATACAGTGATACGACCGCTGATAATTGCATGAGAATTTCGTCTCCATCTGTAGCATGGGGTGGTGTTATGACATGTAAATGAGAATCGTAAAAGCTGCTGTTTAACAGCAGGCAGTGATCATCTGCTTGTGTATAGGCGTAGCACGTCTCGGGCGTTACTGTTTCCAGCTCATGTCTCTAATGTTTCCTGCGCTAGCAGTGATTAGCACTTCTTCCCGCGTCTGCGCATGGCCTCAGGCCTGAGGCTTTGTTCTTCCATCCGTTTCGTCTACACTGGCTGTCGAACATCACTTCAAGCCATGAATTAGCGCTTCAAATACCGGCGCCCGCGATCATTGACCTTCAGGGGTCACGCTAAAGCGAGATTACGCGTGACAACGCGAGACAACGCGAAGTCAGGATATCTGGGGCTGCTGTGTCCCGTGCGATCGAAACATCGCCTAATGATGTCTCGCTGCGGCCAAAACGAGGTCTTGTTAGAAGTGGAAGGCCCATTTAGCACTGATGCGAAGCGTAACTTAGCTCTGCTTTATCCGCAAAGCACGTCATTAATTACCGCGTCCATGACAGGTAGATGAGGGGCAGTCCAAAGCTCAAATAGCATCTGGACAAAAAGCCATCATGCATACTGCATGTATTTTTTTCGGTGGAGTTGTGAATGGCCTTCGGTGGGAGCGCTACGAGCACTCCTACACCCAGTGGGGAGGTCACGCTCCCGCAGGTCAACCAAACTCTGCTGAGAAAAAGTTTTCGTCTGTAACAAAAACGAGAAAGAAGTGGAAGGCTAAGAAACAAAGCCAGACGCGTGCATCTGTAGATAACACACTTACAGCATAGCAAACGGCGCCACGTGCCGAACAGGAAAGCAAACCATTCATGCATCGTTGGTGCTTTAACACGCACCCAGTTGCTGAGGCTATACGGCGTCGCCTCCCTCCGTCCCTGGCAGGAAGGGCGGGCACTGCGGGGGATCGAGCCCCGCACCTCTGGTGTCCCAGACGCATAGCAGTGCAAGCCGATCCAAACCATGAATGTTAACTGTTCAGTACACGTGCCAAGCCATCAGCATATCCGAAAATCATGTCGATGAAATATGCTCATGGCTTGGCCTCAAAATGTATTATACGCTACTCTAATTATCGTACAAGCTTGTTATACATCCCATGAACCGTGGCCGCCGGCTCCTCCGAATTTTGGTTCGGTATTACAGTAATACCGTCATGTACTGTTTGGCACTGCCAGTAAGTTTGGAAAAGCCGTCTTGGCATTTTGCTGCGTAATTGCGCGGCAAAAATGGAAGACAGGTCGTTGCACTCCCATTTCCATAAACGCGACGGTGATTCCCGAGCAACTGCTCCTGCATTTGCACCGCTGGCACCATGACACCCTTATTGGAGCACTCTTGGGACCAATAGCAGTCCCATTAGAGCGCTAGCGAGACAATCGCGGCCAGATTAGGGCACCTACGTCCGCAATAAATGAAAGTAATATGCTTGAAGAGCCACATTCCGGCGCAACAGGCCTCCTGTATTCCGCTACAGCGTAAATGGAAGCCAGAAAATATTTTAGAAGGAAGACGCATTCTGCCCAAAACATTTGTTGATGTCAAGAAGACGCCGTCACACGTCTGAAAACGCTAAAATTTTGTGGCCGTGTGTATTTGAACCGCGAAAGCATCTTGAGCTGAACAAGAATCTAGCGGATTTTTCTGAAAAAGCTTGATGACGATGATGATCACTTTGCGGATGCTCTTAATGTTTTTGTTTTGTTTTTTCTTCACATATGTTTACGGCGTCATACTAATGGCCGGGTATGAACGTAATGACTGAAGAGGAGCTCCGTCCATTTGGTATAAATTGCATTGAAAATTCACAAGACGACCACTGAGCAAATCCAGACCACATGAATCTAGTTGCGCCCGGTTTAATCCCTCAGAACACCGTTTTCATAAAAGTGCACAACATTACAAGCTGATGCTCTGAGCCTCCTTCAGCGACTGCAGCCAAGCAAGATGCATAGTCAGCTGGGGTTTAGATGTAGTAAGAAGGGCAATACAAAACTGATTGACGGAAAAGCACGATGGCTTGATCTCAGCTATAGGCACACGTTTCAACGAACGCCCATGTTATCGTGCCAGGTCTGGGACGCCGCTTGCCTCAACAGTAACAGTGCCGCAACAGTAACGGTGCCGCAACAGTAACAACCAACAGTAACACAGTGCCTTAACAGTAACAGTGCCGCAACAGTAACACCAACAGTAACAACAGTGCCTCAACAGTAACAGTGCCGCAACAGTAACAGTGCCGCAACAGTAACACCAACAGTAACAACAGTGCCGCAACA